TCTTACCATACATGCAAAAAAAAAAAAAAAAAAAAAGAGGAAAGCCTATAGAGTTTAAGTAATTTGTCTCTTCAAACTGCTAAAAAGTAGACCACTTGAACTCCTGTCCCATTGAGTATAAACCACTACTAAGCTGTGTCAACTACTCCCTTTTAAACTACAAAAACAAAAGAACGCTTCCCCATTGCTTTTCTCTGTGGTATTTTCTGCTATTAAGCATTTTCCAAACTTTCTATGCCCTTCACTAGTACCTGAAAAACTAAAGTTGTCTCCAAAATTAACAAGTTTGCTGACGAGTTCTTTTGAAAGAGGAATGTGAATGGCAAAATATGGCAAAATAATCAATGGGTTGGTTTAAATAGAACAAAAAGCTAGCAACTTAAGAGGGCAGTTTGAGAACAAAAATGCTTCTTTCAAATACAGAATATACACGTGGTGGCTAAATTTCATTGTAGACTTGACTGGATTAATTAAAAGCCTAAAGCCTTAGTGAGACACAGGCTTTGAGTATGTCTTTAAGGTGTTTCAGAGAGGATTAACTCAAGGAAGAAGACTCTATCCTGAATGGGGGAGGCACCATAATGCCATGGGCTAAATTGCAGGCTGAATAAAAGGAAATGGGAATAGATCATCTCTACTTCCTGATCTGTATAGCTATGAGCAAACTCCCAAGGTCACTGCTATAGCTGCTTCTATCATCATGCTTTCCTGTGATGGCTGGTACTCTTAAAACAGTAAGCCAAAATAACATTTTCTTCACTTAAGTAGTTCTTGTCAAGAATTTTGTCATAGCAATGAGAATGTGACTAATGTCACAGCTTAGTTAAACACAGGACATTTAGCTAATCCAGGTAGAAAACTTTGCATAGAATTGTGCTGAGGCACAGTCCATTGTGGGGATGGGATAAGCAGCTCTCTTCTGATGGCACTGTGTTTTCTCCTGTCCAGACATGAACTGTTCTATCCCAGTCATTAGAGTGCGTAGACCTGAGTAATAATTTACATAAATCCCTGGTGATGACTAAAGAAATTTAATATGGAGCCAGGCATCCCTTAGAATTGTTGACCTTTTGTTCTGGGATACCTGAGAGGTCCTAGTAGCCTGCAGGTGAGATAAGAATGAATCTACAATTTTGTTCAAATGACTGCAGAACCTGGAAAAGCTGTTGCTGCTATTGATGCATAACATACTGCCATTATTGGTCTTTTTATATAAATATAAATATAAATATGTACATATATATATAATTTGAATTTTTGGAAACTTTAGCTGTGCTGTCAACTTTGAAAAAAAGTATCCCAGTTTAAAAAAAAAAAAAAAAGAATAGGATAATGGGCTGTGAGCTCTTAACAGCTGCCTTTGCTTCTGTAAAACCTGCCTATTGCTATGGGAAAGGGATGAAATGGTCTTTTTTATAGTAGGGAATGTAAGCAACAACTGAGGAAGTAAAACAATTTTCCTGTGCAGCTATGGATTCCATAGATAGTTGTAATACACACCTTTCTGATGTTTGCCTTAAAATCCCATCTTAACCTCTCATCTGCATGGCATGCTGTTTAGCTCTAAGGCTATTTGTCATTCTGCTAGCAATAAGAATAATCTCCAAACCTGAATTGAGTCTAAGTATTGGGTTTCAACTAATGGATTCAAATGCCACAACACCATCAAGATGTGGGAAACACATTTTATTACCAGCTCTGACATAAACCTCACCATTTTATCTAGCTCCTAGATCCATATGTCCAAATGGAAGGTCTTTAAAGAGCAAAGAGATAGCAAAAGGTGCAAAAGGGAACAGCTGTGCATACTGCCTAGTATATATATGTAGTTCTGTAGTCCAGCTTGAAAGCAGACTCCTCCTGTGTAAACAGGAGCAAGAGACACTAGTTTTTTAAGATTTCTCAGTGTGGCCTCCAACTACTGAGCTCTCTTCCTATTCTCTTCCCCTCCCTTCCTACCTCTCACAGATGGTATATTCATATGCTGTAGAATATACATACAAAAAGTAAGTGTTATAGCTCACTCAATCCTCTCCTAGTAGACATTTGAGTTCTGTTAGCATAAAAAAATTACTGCATTAAGCACTTTGGTGTATGCCATTTTGTATATGATGAATATTTAAGTCAGGTTCCCAGAGGGTCCACACATTAAAATATTATGCAATGAACTAATGGGAATCATTCTTATAAAAAGATATACCTTTTGGAGAATCTCTCCATGATAATATAAAACCCAGCTTTTCACCAGAGTGTGAAAATTATCAGAAGTCTAACCATTAAGTTACTCAGATGAGTTGTAGTTAGTAAAATACTTATGGAATGAATATCCCAGGATTAGAGATTTAAAATCTTCTACACAGAAAACAAAGCAAAACAAAATGTCTCTTAAAATGTACTTAAATAGCTGGGCTGTGTTGACATACACCTTTAATCCCAGAACTCAAAAGGCAGAGGTAGGTGGATCTATGTGAGTTTGAGGCCAGCCTGGTCTACAGAGTGAGTTCCAGGACAGCCAGAGCAACACAGAGAAATGCTGTCTTGAAAAAAAAAAAAAAAAAAAGTGCTTAAATATTAGTGTGATGTCCTTGGATGTTCTGAGACCTACCTGATCACAGTTAAAGCCAAAACACAGTAACAAAAAATAGTTATTCTAGCGTATTACTGTCTGAATTATCACAATTACTTAGAAGAACTAAATACTCACATTGACCACATTGACCTTATTAAAAACATACACTTGGCTGGAAGTGGTGGAAGATGCCTGTAATCCTAGCATTGGATAAGCTGATGCAAGATGAAAGCAAATTCAAGACCAGCCTGAACTATTCAGGCAGATTCTATCCCAATATACAGCCACAGCAAATCTAAAATCAGCCCAACAAAACCCCACTCTCCCTCACTTCTTCTGGAGACATGCAAAATTTGTAGAATACTTGTGAAACCACTAAAGACTACTCATAACTCCATCTAGAAAATAGTGAAATAATTGGAAGGCTAAAACATAGATCCAAAAGCAGTTTTAAAAATAATAAATTACTTTGAGACTACTTTTTATGAGAAAACATTTTCTTCAAATGATTTATCTCAAAAAGATAAAGCAAATACCTGCCAAAACCAAATAATTTGCTTGCTGTTTCTTGTATAATGTCGGTAAACAGTATTTCTCTGCCAGTCTGCCAAGTCAACCTCTTGCATGCCACACAGCATAACCTGGGGAAGAAGCATGGCATCAGCCACAATAAAGACTAGGAGGAATGGGGGGGGGGTTGTTTGTCTTTTTATTATTTCTAGAAGTTTCTGAAATATATTCTAGGTAGAATAGTTGGTCATGGTAGTTTCTGCCAGCATTGGTGTTCTCCTTTCCCTCCTTTCTGAGGCAGGGTCTCCCTATGTAGTCCTGAGGTGGGAGGGGGGAGGGAGGCTCTGGAACTCACCACCTATAGGCATCCTTAGCCAATCCTCCCAGTGCTGTAACTATATGTATCTGCCACCAAGCTTAGCCTTTGTATTTCCTTAATGGTATCTTTTAAAGAACAGAATTTTTACTGTTAATGAAGTCAGGCTGTTTTCTTTACAGTATTAAAAAAAAAGAATTGTAAGCAATTTCTACCTATATCATGAATATTTATATTTACATGCAAGTATTTGTATAAACATGTATTTCATTTCCATAGTAAACACCTAATGGATGATTTGCTAGAGCATGAGGAAGACAAACATTTAACAGTATAACCTGAGAAATTGCCAACATTATCCAAAGTGAAATTTCATTTAGGTTACTATTCTCTTGTTTTATTTTAGGCTTTCATGTTTATACTTAATATTCATCTAAAATTAATCTTTGTTTATGGGCAAAGGGGCCAAAGTTAACTTTCTTTCAAATGGATATCCAATTGTTTCAACATTATTTGTTGAAAAGGCTTTCCCTTTTTTCCACTGAAAATAATTTGACAATGCATGCCATGATCTGTTTCGAGGTCTGTTTGGATGCCATTAATCAAGACGTGTACATTTGAAATATACCACATTGAAGAAAAATCAATATGATACTAAAATGTGTGGACGTAGTATAAAATCATAAAACATGGTGGAGCACTGCTGGCACGTGAAGACTATGAAGGTTGAAGCAGGAAGATCAGGATTGCCAGGCCAGTCTGAGCAGAAGCAGACCCTATCTTAAACAAAGGAACAAACAACACTGAACCTGGAGAGGAGAGGTGAGGTGAGTTGAGTTGTGGGGGTATGAGAGGTGGCACACAGGGATACAAAGTCCACCCATTCCCACATCAGCATTTCTTGCTATCAAATAACAAAAGAGCCCAACCTCCAATTCTTTTTCATCAAAGTATTGTAGCCACTGAAGGGGAACAACTTCATTAAACCCATCAAGGAAAGCTTTGGTCTGTTCTTGTACTCCTCGAGAAAAACGCCATTCTGTCATTAAGCTGCAAATAAAGACAGTATTGGAAAAATAGGTCATTTATATATGAAGCTAAGGGACAAAAACACTAAGAAAGCCTTAAATTCTTTCTCTTTTTCAAAATATACTCCCCAAATATATGCACACAACAAGTATCTATGCATGCATTTTTGTGATTTTAGAGTTAACATGATTTTCCATAAACAAATTCATTCTTTTTTAGTTACTTTTATTTATCTGAGATTATAGTTTAATTGTAACATTTCTCCCATCCCTTTCTTCCATCCAAACCCTACCATATATCTCTCCCATAAAATGAAAATCCTTAAGAAATGATATATTTCTTGACAGACACGTATTATCTACCACAATTACATGAAAAGTATATAAGCAAATAGATCTATAGAAAATAGTGAGATCAAAGCAGTAATAAAGCATTTTCTAAGAAAATGACTCAGGCCTATATGGACTCACATTTACAGAACTACTATCAGTGGTCCTTAAAGTCGTCTATAAAATAGAAGAAATCCATCAAAGTCATTTTACAAAGAGAATTTCCCAAAGGGTAAAAACTAATAAAATTAAGGGTAGACATATAGATTTCCATTTAGACTCCATAAATTCTACAGACTGAGTCCAATCAGCTCTATAAACCTACCCAATATATTCATCCTTGTTTTCTTCAGTCACCAGGATATTGGAACCTCCCAATTTCAGATCATGTGAAGTAACTTTTCCTAGAATCTCCATGTCAACAGAAAAATACATTTCTAAGCCACATTCTTCAATGTTGTTGTCTCTGGATAAAAAATAAAAATAACATTTGAGTATGCATATAAACAAAGTATATAAATGAGCTTCAAGTAAATACCTCAATGAAAAAGAAATCTTCAAACCTTATCCAGATAAGGGAGTTATAAAATTCAGTGTCAATAGATTCCAAATCCTTAATAGTAAGTTTTTTACTTAGCATACGCTTGTAGAATGGTAAAGAGAAGCCAGTGTCAATAAACTTTCCATGGAATAGTGCCTGTTGGAAAAAACAAAACATTTTAGTTAAAATGACAAAATATTCTTTAAAGCACAATAATAAAACAGAAGTCAAGAGACTTTACATTTTAAAAAGCATTACTCAATGGTATAAATTGTGAAAATTAAAATACAAAATGCAAAGCAAATTAGAATAAAATTTTATTTCACAGGTCAAATATATAATGTACAATCAAAACTACATATAATATGGGACTTAATTACCAACCTCCCCTACTTTTTAATATATTTTTTAATAATTAACTTAATTCGACACAGAAATGAAAAGCCCCATGAACCACTTTCCATTTCTTTCCTATCTGCAGGATCTCCATGTCTTCATGCATACGTACAGCACCAATATAAGAAGAAGCATCAGTGATTTTTGATCCTATGGATATCTAAAACCACTCACTGAATCAATTATATTGGCCCTCAGCCCCTTATTCAGTTTATATTCAGTCACCAAGTCATTGAAATCACCCCTCCCACTGTATTTCGAACGCAATCCCATGCCTAAATAAAAATCAACTTAAAATTTACTCTGCCTGTAACTTGGTAGAACATGCTATCAAGCAAGCTAGTAGTGCCCAGCAACATCACAGGAAGCATTATTTCTTTACTATTCTGAGTTTCCCTGTGTCAGACGACTATTCATTCACCAATGTGCCTCTGTCCTCAAATACTATACTTACTGCACACAGCAAACAGCAATCAGGAAAGCTTTGGTGCAGTCCACCCAATCTGCTCACCACTACCTTTCTATTACTTTTGTGAGCAGTACAGAATTCTCCCTTTTATTCAAGATCATTGCTCCTATACTCCTTGTATTATTGACTTCAGCAAATTCTTTGTTCTCAGCTGGGCTTGATGGCACATGGCTATAATCCCAGCACTCGGGAGGTTGAGGCAGCAGTTATTGTATCTGCCCAAGATACAATAACAAAATACTACTCCCTGGCATCAAATTCTCTATGATACCTTACTACAAACTTTTCTAAAGCAGATGCTAATATTTAGTTTGAATACACACCAATCTTTCCATCCTACCACTTACAAACATTTTTCACCTTGCTAAATGATTGATGCAAGATCCATCAGTAACATATGAAAGGATTAACCATCGTGTCTTTGGAAAACACCTCGTTCCATTTTCTTCTAGAAATCACTTACTAATTTCAAGTAGTTTTATTTGTTTAAGTTTTTTACTCCTTTTCATCTCCTCAGTTTATAATTATCCCTAAAGTCCCCTATCCACATTATTCCTTCACACAACCATGAACTTTAGATATTTTCTACATGTTTACAACCTCAAATGCCTCTTTCTAACCTGGATATCTCCCCGTTGCCAGATTTGGATACCTATCTGATCTATACCTCCACTGGATGCCATACCTATCCTGAATGGAAAAGAAATCCAACATTCTTGATTTTCCTTACTTCCAGTATTTATTTGTTCTTGCCACCAAAGCCTTATCTTAGGAAACGACAATTTCAAGCCAATGTACAGGCCATGCATTTTGGGGCCTCACTTTACTCTTATGTCTTACCACTAATCTCCCAGAAAACCTAGGTTTTTCTAATTTCTGAATATATCTTGAATCCAAACCACTTCTCACATCTATTACTATACTATTTAGATCCAAAATCACTATGAGCCCTCACTGTTACCTCTATAAGTGGTCTTTATGTCTCTACCTTTGCTTTCCTCTGTGCATAGTTAAAGGACTTTTTGTTGGTGTTCCTTAACTCATGACACTAAAGGACCCACTCAAAACTTGTATATATATGACTTTCCTAAAAGTCCTACATGGCATTTCTTAATCTCACTCCTCACCACATATACTTTGCCCTAACCATGTTTTTTCAACTAATGAGGCATTTCTAAATCCTGTAGCCTTTCCTGCTATTCCATGAGCCCTAAGTTCTCTTCTTGAAGGATGCAGTCTCTTGCCTTCTTCATGTTTTCATTCATGTACAACCTTCAAAGGTATCCTTTAATGCATTATATGAAAAAGTAACACCCCCTGGCTCCCGCTTTATAGAATTTGATTTCCAATAGTAGGAACTTTACATTCTGTTTTGTTATTCTTTAATACCCACTGCCTAGAAATTGGCATGGAATTACTTTAGACTCTCAGCAAATCCTTGCTAAACAAATCAGTAGATAATGTAGTATAAAAATTACAAACACCACTCAAAATACAAAAATTCACAAGGGCAACTGGAAAGCTCTGAAAATTCTAAAAGCACTAATTTAGGTGTACTTAATCAGAAACTCAGGTTTTCCTTTGGCTAAATAACTATATATACAACTCCCTTTTCCTCCACACAAAGTGAGTAACAAGGCTATTACTTTTTGACAAATTTTATTTATTCTTTCTAAATTTCATCCATACATATAATCTCTATCTTTAATTGTATTCCCATCATGGCATCCCCCCCCCAATGAACTTTTCTTCTTCCCAACAAATCATTCCCCCTCCACCTTAGTGTGTATGTGTATGTGTGTTTAAGCACACACATCCCATTGTAACTTATCTGGGTTGCTTGAATGAGCAAGAGTGAAATACTGTTTACTTAAGAAAGGAAAGTTTACTGGTGGCTCCACTACTGAGACATCTGACACTTCCCCAACAACTGAGAATTACCCGTAAGCATTCAAGGAACTTATAAAGTCTCTTTCAAAAGATTTTTATACAATGCACTTTTTTGCACATGTCTGGGTATGTGGTACGCACATGTGTGTGAAGGCTCAAGGCTGATGGTGAGTCTTCCTAAATTATTCACCACAATACTGACACTGACTCTCTCAATCAAACCTGAAACTTGCAGTTTCAGCAAATTTACCTTGCCAGCTTGCTCTGAGGATCGAGTATTGTCTTCTGAGTATTGGAATTATAAACAGACCACTGAAGTCTGAACTGTTGTCCTTGAGCCTGCTTGGCAAGAAATTTACCCATTTAGGTATCTCCCTAGCCCCTAGAACACTTCTGAACTAAGAAACACGGAAATAAAATAACAGAAAGTTAGGAACTCACCATTGCAATAAAGCGACCAATAAAACAGAAGTATGAAAGATGATCAGGATTTATGGTTGATGCTGGATTTATCTGTAAACAATAGTTATTCTTGCCTGCATACTCAAATAAGCAATACATTGGGTTCAATACTTCATGGGAAAGCAAGAAAAACCATTCTCTATAAGAAAATAAGTCAAGATTACTTTTAGTATTCACATATATGTGGATTTTTAATGGTCTTAAACATATCAATAAGTAAATAAATGTGTGCATGCACACACATACATGCGTGCACACACATACACACACACACACACACCTACTCATTTCTTAGCATTCCTCCATCTGGTTTTCCTTTCAAAGCCTCTGCTAGTTTTGAGCTATCAAACTGCAAACTCATGGTTCCCCATGGATCTGTTCTTTTCTACATCAAACTTATTTGACTATCTTTCCTCAACTTCAATTCAACTTATGTAGAGTACAGTTTTTCTCAACTCACAATTCAATCCGATCTTAGCAATTTTTGAAGCAACTTAAGAGTATAATACATATCTGTCATTGCATTCATTGTGCAATAACAATCAGAAAATATATTTTTATGCATATTAACCTCTAAGGCAAAAGCCATGTCTATATATTTTCAGTATTAACTCTTATAGGCATTCTATAATATATATTTAACAAGCTTTTTGTTATGTTTTGGGTTTTTTAAATTTTGTTGATGCTGGAAATGGAATCTAGGGCTTCATGTATGCTAAGCAATGGATAAAGCACTGAGCTATACTCTGATCCTCCATTACAGGTTCTAGGAAACATTTGATAGTGACATTGAAGCATATAATACTGCTGCTATAAAACAGTGAGGTGATGTTTTTGTTTTTGAGTTAAGATCTTACTTCACAGCTCAGGCTAGTCTGGATACAAAGTCCAGGTTGGCTTTTAGTCGGTAACAATCTTCCTGCCACAGGCTCTCCTAAGGGCTGGAATATCTGCCTTTTACAGAACAAATATATTCAAATGATGCAAAAAATTAAAAAGTGAAATCTTTAAATGTGCTATGTGCTTACTAACTTTTAACTGCCTATTTTGTTTCACTTTAATACTTTTTAACACAAAATAAACATTTACAAAATGTTCTAAAGCGCGATTCCAAACTCAAATATTTACTATGATCAGTGTGAGTTCATGGGGCTTTGCCTTGCCACAATCCCTATTCTTCATTATAAACCTGATAATAAATATTATTGGCTTTAGGGAAAAAAAACTTCTAGGTACAATAACACAGTCTTCATACAATGGTGGTAGTAGACAGTGGTGGGTACTATCTACTGTAATGAGTGCACACTATCTTAAAGGACTCAGCCATTCAGTGCCAGGAAAAGCAGAAATTTTAGTATACTGTTGATAAAGAAAAGCCAGAATTGTTGTTGTTGTTGTAATGGTTGTTGTTCTTTGTTTTCGTACCTTGAGATTGGCCTGAAATTTGCTAGGCAAAGCAGGCTGACCTCAAATGAAATCTGTCTGCCTTTGTCTCCTGAGTGCTGGGATTAAAGCCATTACCACATTTATCTCAAGAAAAAACATAATTTTAATTCTTCATCTCAATCTGATAATTTGTGTGATACTATCAAGTAATTTGAAAGTTTTTAAGTCATCACAGGTCACCTCTATGCTGGTTCCTATGGCCTCTTATTTTGTTAAATGCTTAATAGAGCTTTTAAAACATTCCCTGTAAGTACCTGAAGGATACAGAAGACAATTGCTAAACAAAACAACTATGAATTACTATCAATTCATAGAATTAAATTCAGACTCAGAATACTAAGTAAACCAAGTAACTTCACTTTGTGGTTGGGCTAAAGTAAGATAAGTAAATCTAGTAAGAATTGTGCAGAAAGACACACACACACACACACACACACACACACACACACACACGATTTTATTTCCAACTGCTTCAGATCACTTTTAAAAAGCAGCAAACCAGGAAAAAAAAAAAAAAACTATATTGATCCAAAAGAAGAATGGATACATGATGAAAAGCCTTTACCCTAATACCAACACAAAAGAGAAGTTTCCTAACTAGCAAGAGGCAGAATTGACTTTTTCAACACAAGCTCAGCTCTGCACTCTCAAACTAGACACATGAGGCTGAAAGAATCATGACCCAAAATTAGAGAAGACAATGAAAAAAACAGTAAAACAGCAAATGAAGAAAAATCACATGAGAAGCAGCAAAGCATAGGGTAATTCTGCAAATGGTGACATGAAGACAGGTTTCAGAAAACCAAAATAGGAAAAGCACTAGGATCAAATGATAAGATGACAGACACGTAAGAGAAAAAGATGATAGACACATAAGACTGACAAAGGAGATTCCACATACCCATGATTGATGTTCCTGAAGAAAGAAAAGAACAAATAGAACAGAAAAAAAAATTCAAAGATAAAATAGAAGAAAACTTCCCTGAAATTAAAGTTCTTAATGTTCCTTTAAAAAAGACCAAATGCCAGGTGTGGTGGTGCACACCTTTAATCCCAGCCCTCTGAAGGGGGGGAGAAGCAGGTAGATCTCTGTGAGTTCAAGGCCAGATTGGTCTAGAGAGTGAGTTCTAGGACAGTCAGGGCTACCCAGACAAACCCTGTCTTAAAAAACAAAACAAACCCAAAACAAAACAAAACAAACTAACAAACAAAACTCTGCAATGAAACTAGTGTACTTTAAAGGACAGTGTGACACCCAGGGAAATTTTCTGACAATGGTTTGGCCTCATACTACCTAGTGCTCACATTCCATGCTAAATCAACAGTGAAGTGATACCTAAAAATACTGGAAAGATAATATTGTACAAGAAATGTCTTTCTAGTGAGGTTGTTGTTTATAAAACCAACAAGGAAAACACTTCCAAATATGTAACAACTACAGGAATATATCCCCCATGAACTCTTGAATAAGTACTCTTCAATGAGTCTAACCAATCAATGCATGATCAAATCAAAAGTTAGGAGTAACAAAACAATGATACACAAGAACCCATTACATGCATTTAAACTGTCCAAACACAGAACTGGAACCATTTAAGACAAACAATAGTTCACAAAAGAATATGAATGTTATCATGTCAGACACTGAGGAAAAAATATGTTCTTTCTTTTCTAAGATGTACCTTTCTTTTCAATGTCTGGGCATTTCTGAAACTGAGAAAAAGTCATTCACAATACACATAATATGAATATTTTCTGGATAGAGGTACTTACTGAAAACATCAATAATGTTTTGGATAAAGAAAGAGGCTAACAGAAACACTGACAAACTCACAGCAATACTATGTATCTACTTCTACCAGTTGTGACCTGGTTCTTCACTTCTGTCAGCTATACTTAAATTGTGATTTTCTCATTTTGTGAAAGTGTATGAAAATCTGAATTCTTAGGAATACTTAATGAAACTGTTAAACTTAAAAAAAATGCCAATTTAGATTTGTGTGAAGCAATTAAGGGAGGAAAAAAAAAGGATTTACATTAACCACTTCACAGGTATCTCTTAACAACACTGTTAACTTTTCAATAAAAGCAGAAAATTTCATTTTCCAAATAAAATCAGATCAGAGCAAAAGCACAAATAAAAGTGATATGCAATGTTAAAATAGCAAAATATTAAATAACCTTCCGTAAACCCATTAATTATGCTACACTCATATGTAGAATATTATACAGCCATCTGGTAAAAACTTTGGTATGTACAGAAGAGTAATTGTAATAGTGGGACCCTGCGATGGCTCAGTGCATAAAGCACTTGCCATGAAGGCAGAATACTCTGAGTACTCTGGTCCTCAGAACCCATGTGTTCTGGGCATGTGGTCATGGTGACCCACCTGTAATCCCAGCACTTGGCATATGGAGATAGGAAATCCCAGCAAAGGCCAGCTAATCATACCAGCTCAAATGTTGAGCTCTAGATTCAGCAAAAGACCATGCCTTAACATATAAGGTAGAAAGTGATAGAGGAAGACACCACATGTCACCCTCAGGCCTCCACATATATCTATCTGCACACAGACCTAGATAACATTCACTCACGTACACATATGTGTACCATACTCATGCAAGTGCACATACAAACATACCATACATATATACATAAGCAAAAAAGTTGAAATAATGGTTACCCAAAATAACCCTGGTTGCTAATGAAAAAAGTAAATTAATATATCCATATATCTTTTAAAGAATACCTCTACTGCAGATGACAAAACAGACTTATTACAAAGCAGTAACTTTTTAACTTTACCTTGCAAGGCCACCATAATCAAGGCCTTCTTCTCCTCTAAATATTACATATAATCGCCTCCTTAAGTCATATGGTTTTAATGCCATGATCTAATTAAAGACAAAAATGTGAATATTTAAGCATTTTTACACTGTATAAGTTACCTCCAAAATAATTCAATTTAAATTTAATCTGTATTTTCAAAAGTACACATTTCAATATCTCTTATTTAATTCTGCAGCTCATCTGCTTTGTTCCATAACCCAGCTAAAAACAGATAATCCTTCAAGTTTTCCCTGACTCACTTTCATATACTCTTCCCCCTTCTACTGTTAAACAGTTCTACTTAGAGTTAGTGGTAGAAGAGGACAATTTAGATTTCATTTTCTCTCCTTCCCCTCCTTGAGTTTTATACTACTTCAACATGTGACGGGTAAGCTTTTCTCCACAGCAATTCTGTAAGCTGAAAGGACTTTTTGAGTTCCACCTACATCAACTCTCTTCTAACTCTCAAGAGGATAGAAATTCAACTGTAACTCTCATACAATGATATGTGTGTGTGTGTGTGTGTGTGTGTGTGTGTGTGTGTGTATTATATACATATAACAGCATGTCTTAAAATAAGATCAAAATAATTTTCAGAATCTGTAAGTTTCTTGGGGATAAAAATTTATATCTACTATCACCCATCAGAGCCGCAGCCAAGATTGTGGGGTCTGGGTCCAAACACAGCTCACTAATAGGAATCCCTAGGAAGCAATTATGGGCTTAACCTCATATTTGAACAGACTCAAGACAGGAAAAGTAAGACAATAACTAACATGAAATTAGATAAACAGTTGCTAAAAGCAATTCAAATACAGCTCTGAACAAACCATTTGTAAAAACACACTTGGACACTTGACACAATTGTTTGGTTCAGAATTAGTCACTCACACACAAAAGCAGTTGTGATAATGGCTACAATGGCTATCTTTTCTAAGGCTTTATCAACAGCTAGTAAAATGAGGATATGATATAAATGTCTCTAAAACTTCTGTATTACTATTCCATTTTAACCAGTATAAAACAAAACATACAAAAAAAATTAGCAACCAGCAAGGCACAATAAACCATAGGGTGCTAGTAGTGGCAAACTGATGGTAACCAACAGTTCTGTAATTGGACCTAAGACTGCCTCAATGAGAGAGATATCATGCCTGATACTAGAAACCTACCCAACTACCCAGCACTAGTGAAGTCATAGATTCTGGAAGAGAAGCTCTTCACTAAACCAGCATAATCTCTAACTACATTATAAATATTTGTCCTAACACCCACAGATAAGTGTAGTTCTCACCCTTCATCAAAGAAATGTTCTCTTTGCAACAGAGACTATTACAGAACACAACCAAATAAAATGTAGAGTTGTGGAGCCCAGTCCCAACTGATATATCTACAAAACAACTTCCACACCTAAGGCACAGAGAAGATTTCAGAAAAGGGGTCAGAAAGATTTTAAGAGTCAAAGGATCAGGGAGTTTGTTGTGAAATTGTTTCTCCTAGAAATGTTAGAAGCTACATCCACAAAGTCTCAAACCATGAGTGCCTAGCCATGAGTTAGAACAAGGAGGACACCAAGGGACATGCTAATATGGACAGTGAAGGTTCTCAAGGCCTCAGACCTATATAAAGAACTAAGGAATGCTGAGAGCGGGAGAAATAGTCTTCCCTAGAGAAGAGCACACCAATTGGCTATTTAATACCATATGGTCAGTCATAAAAACATATACATACCAATAACATTATACAAAATAAACAGGCTGCATTCTTGTATTGTGGCAATATGTTGTTTATGACTGATTAAAGCTTGCCTGAGGATTCAGAAAGCAAATTCAGCCACAAGCTGCACACACCCTTAATCCCAGCAGCCAGAAGCTAGGAGGTAGTGATATACACCTTTAATCCTAGGACTCAGGATTAAGAGATAAACAGATCTACAGAAGAGTGAATCAGTCTAAAAAGGAATTATAGTCATACCTTCCCAACATTAGGGAAGTACAAAAGACAGAAGCAAGGTCTCAGAGAGGCATTCATCCTCCAGCCATGCTGAGGAGAAGCAGCAGTTGGAGGCTTGAAGAGCTCATGCATGGGTCAGCCCTTTCAGACTGAGATAGAGGTGAGAGGTGGTGGCCAGCTGATTTGCTGTTGAACCCCAATGTCAGTCTCTGAGTCATTTATTTTTCATGTTACATGTATTAGGAATATATATATTAGTGAAAACAGAGACCATAAATTTGAGAAAGAGGCAGGAGAGTATGGAGGGAGGAAATGGAAGGAGAAGATGATTTAGTTATAATCTTAAAAATAAAAGAAATAATGGAAAAATTAATGAGACTCATATTTGAGTACACAGTCAATGCTTTACAGAGTGAAAGATCATGAAAAATTCCTGACTTCTTCATTGTATTGATTCATAAGTGTTTATTGAATAACTGTCCTATGAAAGACACTATTCTAGGTACTGGACAAAGGTAAAGTAAACCATTAGTCCATGTCCTCACAAAGCAAACATTCCAGTAAGGGATACAGGGAGTGGGTAGTGCTATGAAAATGATGAAATAGAAATGGTTAGAAAATGACCATATGTGGGAAGAAAACCAGGGACTGTTATTTTAAACAACATGCTCAGGCTAGATGAAACAGTAAAGTCTAGAGGTCAGAATGAACATAAGAATTACTAATGGAATATTCAAATGGATCTATAATATCCATCAATTTGATTTGTTAGCATTTTCACAAGTTTTACAGATGTGAAAACAGACTTACTCCAAATGCTGTTCAAACTTTATTTTAGTAAGAATACACCTAAATTATTTCATTTATCTATTTATTTGTTTGCTGGTTGGCTCGTTTTTAAGACAGACTCTCACTATGTCACTTACGTGACTTGGAATTCACAGACATCTACATGTCTCTGATTTTAGAATGCTGAGATTAAAGGCATGTGATACTACACCCAGATACTCCTAAATTCTTCATTGTTCTACTCTCCCACCTTCATCTATAAAATTGAGATGATGGTGTATCTCTCACAGAGATGCTGTGAGGAGGAGAGAAAAAGCAATTAAAAATTGTCAATAACCATCAGTCATGACTCATTACATGGTGAAGTTTAATTTTATGTATATGAATGCTTTAACTCCATATTAGATCTCATAACTCCTCTAGATCACATAATAAAGTTTAACATAATTACTAATGTAATCACTCAAGAAGTAAGGCTATTATAAATGCTTAAAGACTCAAATGCTTCTAACTCCCTTTAGAAGCACAGAATAAAATAAAACAAGTAATACTGTTTCATTTTGATAATACCTTCCTTACCTGTTGGAAGGAATCTTCAAATAAAGTCTGTCGGGACACATTGATCTTTACATGACTGGGTAGTGCATTAGACTAAAAACAAAAATATCACAGCATGTAAGCCACAGCATATGTATTCCATAACTATCAGACTAAATTATTATAAATGAGATTTATTTACCACTGTAGTACCTGGCACAAGTAACGGAAGTGAGCAAGCTTCCACCTGAAGCTGCGTTCGTAAGCAATCTGTGGACCACCTTTAGTTCTAAAAAGAAGCATAACAAATAACACTGTAATATAATTATGAAACAGTGTGCGTCAGATTGTAGTATGACTAAAGAAAGCTATTTACAGTCGATAAATGGTGTATTCATTAGGACAATAGAGGCTTGAGTCATGAAGATTGTCCCATCAGCAGAACATATGCACGAGAGAGACTCCAAGTAGGAACAGGTCTATTGAGAAGCCCTTAGTTTATAGAAGGCCTAAAGTCTACT